AACCCCAGATCATAGCACTTAGTTAAATCTCAGTGGAGACTGTTTTGGCCAGGCAGTGAACGTCAAACATACAGAACATGAAACTAATGAATTAGATCATTTGTTACACCTTTAGGAAGTTTTTGTAAAATCCTTTAAAAAAACAATTTACAATGTTCTTAGCCGCTGACTGGATCAACCATCTGTCTACTCTTTTCCCAAATTGTTTTTTTTTTTTTTTTCAGATAGAGTTAAATACAAACAGAGGAATCATTGTTGCCACACCTGAACATCTGTCCTAGCTATCAATACGGACACTGACTGGTCCAAACTTTTATGTCGCAGCCAGAAAGGCTTAGCTTGTATCCTAGTTAGACAGATTCATTTTTGTGTTCTCAAGGATCTTATGGGAATTCAGCTGCTTTGCAACATCAATACCTTCCGAAGCAAAACACCTACCATACAACTGACTCCGCCAGGAATGCGAACACCATCAATCACCATGTCTTCCTGAATCTCACGGGATATGCCAGGAACTGTTGAATACAATCTCAGCGTCTCTTTCAGCACCTAAGGGAGAGTTTTAATGTGAGGTCTCYATTATAGGTTAACTGTTTAAACAAGACTGAACAACCTTTCAGTTATTTAGYAAACTGAAGCAGAATAAACAAAAAACAATGATTTAACCATTATTGAACCAGATCAGAGATCTCTGTKTCAATGGGTCTGAAGGCARCGTAAACATGCATGCTTTTGGACTGTGGGAGGAAACCAAAGTACCTGGAGAAAACCCACACAAATATGCGGAGAACATTGAAACTCCAMAGAGAAAGGCCAAACCCAGGGTTTGAACCCAAGACCTTGTGTCTTTGAGTCAGTGTTGCTAACCCTTAAACTACCATGCTAACAATAAAGTCATACATGAAAATAAAAAGGCTAGCATTCTTTGAAGGAATGCATTCTGCTCACTGCCTTTTGGGCCAGTTTTAAACTAAGATCATCTTAAGTTGAGAAATGACAAAGTTCCTGTCGATACAGTTGGTCAAACCTAGAATTTTTTATATATATACAGTATTTTTTTTCTATTACTTTCTATTCTTAGGAATAAACTTTGCAGCCTTTCACTTCCTCTGGATGGCATTAATCTGGCCTCCAGTTCTAATGTAAAGAACCTTGGTGTTATAT